GAAACATTGGGTGAATCCCAAGGACCACAAGTGAGAGGAAGATTCCAGGGGGAGGGGGAGAGCGAAGTGCCTGCACCTCTGTGCAAGCTGCATCATCCGCCTCCGGTGCCAGCAGGCTGAAGAGGTTAAATATGAGAGCAAACTCCCTTGGAGAGGAGGAGATGTACGTACGGGGCTTGTGCAGACGTAAATTAATTTTGCCCTTCCCCTTGCCCAGAGATGACGTGCTGAGGGGAGATGCATCTCCCAAACTACTGCTAGGTGGGGTGTGTGCTTGGGAGGCACGTGGGGCTGGGCTGAGGTCTCAGAATGGAAGCAGCTGTGGAGGTAGGGAGCAGATGTGCGCTGGTGCTGTGTTCGTAGCAGAGGACAGTGTTGGCAACAAGGGCAGAGAGAGCAGATGGGGCTCATACTCCACCAGCCTCCGAGTAGTACCCAGCTTGCTCTGTTTTGCTGTTAAAAAGGACAGACCGACCCCTCCCTTCTCTCCCCTGCAGTTAAGGCTGTATGGCTGCATAGGTGACACGTGAGCTAGTCTGATCTTCTGCTTATGGGTCCAAAATCTCCAAACATCAGGTCACGTTGACAGCAGCAGTCATGGTGGGCTTCTGTGCGCAGTCTTCTGTGGTCTGAATTCACCCGGCTGTTAACAAAGGTGGATAGCGAGGAAAGGCAGCTTCAGCTTCCAGCTCTGTCTCTGGTCTCCTGGCTCCCCCTCCCTTCCCTGAGCCTCCGAAGTGGGGCGTGCTCTGCATGCCCCAGCCCTGAGCACTGTAGGAAGACGACCACGATCAGGGATGCTGCTCATGTGCTTGGAATTTTCCTCATTTCCAGCTTTGATTGTTGTGTTGTGCTTTTTGGTGGGCCCTTCGGTGAGTCTGGTCATTGGGGAAAGCTCGATAACACACCCAGACTTATTGCGTCAGTGAGGGTGCATCCACAAAGATGAGTATGTTTCTCCATTGGGGATCTTCTTGCTTTGGTTATTCCTGGCCAATGACATTTTCCTCTTGCTCTGAATACGTTGAATTGTGCAATCTCACTGTGGCCTCATCAGCTCGGACCTTTCTCTTAAGAACCTCTTGATTTCTTTTCTAATTTGGCTGTAGGCTATCATCGGTTATAAAACAGTGTGACACAGTATGTGACTACTGCATTCTCCTGCATTGACTCACCAGCTGAGATTCCAGAGCAGTGACCCCCCTGCTGCTAGCTGGAGCAGCCCTCCGTGACCCGGCCTCAGCAATACGGGATGTGAAAGCTCCCACACAGATCTTGACAGGTTAGGCAAATGTTAGTCAGAATGCCCCGATAAATCTGTCCCTGAGAGCTGGACGTGTACAGAGCACGTGGTCCTCGGCACAGGTACCCGAGCGAAGCCTGCGCAGGTGTGACGGCGGTGGTGAGCAGAGCAGGCCCACGCAGCGACCAGGGGGCTTAGGACGGAGGTGTAGCCCGGCAGTGTGTACGCTCTGCATTTGCTGGGGGTCAAAAACTTAATCAATGTCATCACTACGTCAGTCCAGAAAAATGATGGTGTCACCTGGGCTAAGGCATGCTCACACTTCACGTGATTTAATAGAGAAAATACCCTGAATCTGCATAGATCCCGTGTTTCCAGCGTCTTCTACCTCCTCCTGTGTGTCCTGTCCGGCTCCTTCAGAGAAGGAAATGCATTCAGAAGCTCACTAAGCAATTAATTCTGCTCCTTGTCCTTGAGTTCAGACATGCTTTTGACTGGAGGATAATTAGAAGATGATCTTGCATAAAAGGCTCCCTGCACATTTTAGGCAAACTGCTGAAGAGGGGCTGGCGAGAGGAGCTGCGTGTTCCCTGACGAGACTGCAGCCTTCATAAACGTTCATAGATGGGAAACATCTGCTTGCTGAGGATGAGTGTGCCGAGGGAGCTTCGGTGGGGCTCCTCTGCGGGAAGACAGAGACCAGTCTGAATTGCCTTCAGCCCGCAGTGGGATCTCTTCTTGCACAAGCACTGGGAGTTAGCTCTAGCTGACCAGCTTATTTCTGATTCCCAGGCGTTGCGCTCTTGCTAATTACTTGTTAATAAACAAGAAGCGAGCGTAGTTTCGCATGCCCCTTTGCAGAAGAAGTGCTCACCTCTTCTGTCGGGTGGGCTGGAGCTCAGCGGGCTGTCTCCACGACTGCTCCTCCGGGTGCTCCTGTACAACTGGCACCTGCTTCCAGGTGTTTTTACTCCTCCGATGCGCTGCCGTGCTGCCAGGGGGAAGGCAGGGCAGGGAGTGCCGTGGTGCCGGTGCAGCCAGCGCGGCTGCGGAGGTGTGCCTGCCTGCGCACTGGGGTTATTCTGCAGAGAGCTGAAGGACTCCAGCTTCAGGGACTTGGTGATGGCAGGGGGAGTGGAAAGCCAATAAACCAAGACAACCTGTCCTCAGGAGTTTTCTCCTTTGTTTTAAAATGTTGAACATCTGCATTCAAAGGGAAGACGTATCTTGGCAGCAGGCATCGATTGAGGTGTCACTCATCAGGGGGCTGCAGATCTGCTACGGAGCAGGGTTTCTGCTGGAAGAGACCTCCAGGGGGTCCTCTGGAGAGGAAAAAATGTTTATTGATGGCTGACCCTGGGTCCCTGGGCCCTGGGTCCCTCCCAGCCCACGGAGCGTGTCCTGCTCTGGGAGGGAGGCTGGGATTGATTGCCGAGGGGGCAGCAATTCAAAGTCTGCTGTAAATTGATGGTAGGTGGAGCAGTAATGAAGATAAATGAGGGAGCTCTTCGCGGTAGATTAGCCTGCGTGCTGACTGACACCGTGCTATGGCTGGCTCAGACGTCCCGCTCACCTGGCAGCATTCCTCGGCACAGCGGAGATGGAGCAAATCTTCGGGGAAATTGCCTCTCCTTGAAATTCAGAGGGCTTCGAAGGGCCTGGGGTGAGACCCAGGAGCTTCCCAGGTAGACACCAGCTGAGTGCAAGTTCTGCAAGAGCAGTGAGGATGAAAGGTGCTGCTGAGCCCTCGTGCTCGGTCACTTCAGGGCTCGAGAGGGAGATGGCTTAATTCTGCAAGAAACGGGTTAGGCAGCTGGGAGGTGGGGTTCCTGTAGCTGTTCGAAGAGCCCTGTTAAAACACCACCTTTTTGCTTGTCCGTGGCTCTGCAGCAGCTCTGTTGAAGGTCCTTTTTCTGCATGAGCCATCTCAGTGGTGTCTGGCACGGAGGAAGGTGCTCTGATCTGGCGCATGGCAGACTCTGAATGAGCACTTCCCATCAAAGCCGTTTTCAAAGTGGTTTTCTCTCAGCACTTAAACTGGTATTTCCCAGGGCCCTTGGGTAAAATCCCTGTTCGGAGATGCTCTTCGTGCAGTAGCCGATGGGTGGCCTAGGAGCAGAATAATCTTCTTTGCCTTAATCCCATCCTGCTACTTTGACGCTGCTTCGGACACGGTGGCTGTAGCTGCTCGGCTCCCTCTGCCCGCACCGGCCGCCGGGAGAACCCCCGGCTCCTCGGGGGGCTGCGAGAGCCCCTCCAGCAGCGACCGCGGGGTGACAGCAGCCCCAGCTAAAGGCTTGTGCAGGGGATGTTACTGTTGACTCGTCCGTTCCCATTGTCGTCGTAAGCTGATAACTTTCATGAAAACTGGCTCTGGATGTGTGAGATGTCCTTACCTGCTGTCGGCACGATGGTGATCAGCGTGAGGAAAGCTAACAACGTTTTTCCTGGATCGGGAGAAAGCACAGCCGGCCTGGGGCAGCGCGCAGCCGAGCTCTGGGCAGGGAGCGTGGAAGCAGCCCTGTCAGCTCCAGCACGTGCTCAGGAATTGCAATGATCAAGGTAATTTTTATTTTTTTTTTAACCTGGGTCAGTTTAGTTTGCAGGTTTAGCTGTGGTATTGTACACTGAGTCTGTCCGTGTGGACTGGCACCTTTGGACCAGACTCTATAAAATACCTGTATGCTAAATAAAGCATCTTTGTAGTTGCTGCTTGCCCAAGTTGGGCAAAAAAAATTAAGGAAATTTCTGGAGACGAGAGGGGTTGATCTCTGTAACGTGTCTGCTGGCAGCTCTGCAGCTGCCTGCCCCTCCTCTCATCAGCTTCAACTTTAATTGATAGTTTAAGTTCTGGGTGTTTGGTTTGGGGTTTTTTCAGGACAGGTCTGGAAGCTTCCTGCTCCCGGGGCAGGGCCCAGCTGGGTGTGTTGGAATTCAAAAGGCAAAGAACATCATTTTCTGATACAGGTTTATAATGAGTTTTGACTTCAAATAATAAGCAGTATACACAACATACAAGTGAGTTTTACAGAGACGCTGTTGGATCTGTTGACTTCAGAACCTACCAGTACGCTCACAGACTTTGCTTTCTCTAGCCCTCCGTGTCTGCCAGCATCTAGGGCTGGCCCTTGCCTTTCTGCAGTCCCTCAGGTTTCGGTTCCGATGTCCAGCTCCGCTTGTCACCTTCGCTGGGGAGACGGGGAGAAGCCTCGTGCAGAGGTTGCGGGCGTCAGCAGCGCGGCCGGGGCGGTGTGCCGGGTCTGCTCGAGGGGAATGGACTGTGTCACGGGCTTGCAACAGCCTTCCCCGGGCCTTGCGAGAAAGTAAAAGCGAGAATGCTTTCTGCAAGAGTGGGTCATTCTGAACTAGTGTTGTTTGCCAGTGAAACTTCACTGCAACGTGAATTCTCTGGGGAGCTGCAGGTCTCCTCAGCCCTCGCACCCCGACGATGGGTCGTCCAAGCCCGTGTCGGCTGCACCGTCCCTTGGCAGGGAGAACAACGGCAACGGCAGTTTCACAGTTCAAGCAAGGATTGCAGACTCCTCCTAGGTGGGGGATTGGTTTTGCTGAGCAAATAGAAGGGTCCACAGCACCTCCTGGGAAACGCAGTCAGTCCTTTAGTGCTTCGCAGAATTAATTAAATAAAAGCCATGCAGTTGAACTACAGCTCCCAGAACGCCGTGGCCCTCAGGGCACAGGGTCTTAAAAAATGGCCAGGGGGGTGGCAGCGGGTTCTTCCCTCGGTGCTCCCGGCTCCTCAGGTCTGGTCCAGCCACTCGGCCCGCTTCGGCGCTTTACACGTGTGCACGTCCACAGTGTCCTCGCACTCCTTGCAGCGCACAGCGCAGCACCAGTGGAACTTGCACTCGCACTTGGTGATGCGCGTGACGCGCGTGGTGTCGTACCCCCGCCCGCAGCACATCACCTCGCAGCCGTCCGTCCCGCGGGACATCTTGTTGCACACGCGACCGGCCGTGCCCAGGGAGCCTGCAGGAGGAAGGAGAGCGCGTCAGGGTGTTCCTTCTCCATCTTGTTCGAGTGCTTCCTCCACCCCCTGCCCCACGGTTCTTGGCCCTGGTGAGATGGGGATCTACCACCTGCGACAGAGGCCTCGGACGCGAGTGCCTTCGCAGCGGTGAAATCACGGCATGGCCTCCAAGGGCTGGGGAGGGGCTGTGGGGAGGAGGTTAGAGCCTGCGCTTGCTGTGGCACGACCTCACCTCCCCAAAAAAAACAACCCTAAGGCTTCCTATGTAGCATGATGGTTAAATTCAGACTTATTTCCATTTCTTCCTGTTCTACTTTAGGAGTGGGTTTGTACCTTGCTTGCTTCCTTTCGGCCCCAACAGCAGGCTGACGAAAAGTCTTGTATTAGTGAAGAATTTGGAAACAAGGCACTTCTCAGCCAATTTATTCCCTTCGGCGGGGGAGCTGGCGTCCCGAAGCAGCCCTGCCAGGCTGGGCGAGTGGGGAAGCGCCAGCGCGTCGGGACGGGAGGAGGAGCGGCTTTTGGGCAATGACTGGAGCTTTGGGTTTTACCTGCCGACTTGTCCATCACGCAGTAATCGGGCGAGTTCTCAAAATACACCAGATCTGTTTTCGTGGGCTTCCTGAAGTTCTTGTTGGCCACCGTGAAGCCGGTGCCGTCCTGGTTCATCGTCACCTGGATGGCCCCGTTGTATTTTTTCCTTAGGTAATCCCCCGTTTTCCGAAAATCTGACATTGCCAGCCAACAAGTCCTTAGTGTGCAGGAGCCGCTGACCCCGTGGCATTTACACTCCAGCTTCAGGAAACGCTTCACAGCCTGTGGGAAGAGGGATGGGGTGAGGACTGGAAGTCACTCTGGGCACCAGTGTCACGCCTGGGTCTGCTCGTCCCTGCGGCAGCTCATCAGCGGGACCAGGACCCTGACGGGAGCCGGTGATGGGGCCGGAGGACCGTTCCCACAGTCACTGATGCCAGCACCAGCGAGGAGACGTGCTGGGGCTGATACGGGGTCCTGCCATCCCCCCAGGGCTGCGCCCCTGCGGCAGCTCATCAGCGGGACCAGGACCCTGACGGGAGCCGGTGATGGGGCCGGAGGACCGTTCCCACAGTCACTGATGCCAGCACCAGCGAGGAGACGTGCTGGGGCTGATACGGGGTCCTGCCATCCCCCCAGGGCCGTTCCCCGGGCAGGACCGCATCCCGCCCCGTCTGCAGCAGGACCTGCCCTCTGCAGACA